CACATAAGATGGTAGACTGCGCAAAGGAAGAGCCAGAGGGAAAGTGCAAACTAGCTTACCTGCATTTCATTGAGAAGCATCTCAAAGGCAGTGACATACTTAGTAAGACAGTCACCCATGCCAAAGGCGCACACCCGATCAAGCACAGTGATGATCTGGACGAAGGAGTACCTTAGGCGTTATTTTTGAGAGCTTTTATTCGAAAAAAGGACTTTTCTCGCAAAGAAGGAAAGAAAGGAAGGAGATTTTTTCCTGAGCTAAAGAGCCGTAATTTACTGTCTACAGCAGACCTAAGTGTGAAGAACCATGGGAAGGTAAGCAGCAAAAATTATAACCTCAGTAAACCTTTCCGAACTCGTTTTCTAGTACAATTCATTTTCTACCAAAAGTCATACCACTTTAAATGCAATAGAAACCTGATAAGCTGGTTATAGTGTGCAAACACTGTTCAAGAGCACACCAACACCAAACCTAAGAACAATTAATTTCTTAACACAAGGGATCATCAATTCACGGTGACTGAGCACCTTTAGCAGAGCCGGGTGTTCGGGCCACTCCTGAAGGACTTCAACGACTCTCGCGCGAATCGCAACCATAACAGTATGCGCCTTCCTTGCTTCCACTTTAGGGATTGGGTCTCGGTAGACATCGAGACAATGTTTCCTTCCAACCATTGGCTCCAGTTTTAGGTGCTGTTGCTGCAGATTAGAAAGTTCAAAGGGTACGACTTTGTCCAATTCCAAGTCGTCCCGAGAAGTGAGAGCCAAACGGGCTGTGGCCAGAAGATGTGAAGGCATAGAATGTTTGTCTGAGATCGTAGCTTTAGTTAAAAAGAAAGGGAACTCCAAGAATCAACAAGAAACAGATTAAAAACAGCTATGTAATAGATCATTCGGGAGTAAGCTGGAGACAATTTAACAATGTCCCAACCACTTACGCAGCGGATACTTTGCACTGATCAACAGATGTCCAGCAAATTGATAGCCCTCCAAAAATGTTTGCCACCAATGCTTTTCCATAAGAGATTCACCCTTTGAATCTGGCCAAGCGAAATGAAGCAGAATGAAGACTACTCGATCAACGAATCTGACTATCTCTGTGTCCGCTGGCATCCACTCCTCCTCCTCCTCCTCCGCCTCCTCGTACTGTTCCAGTTCTCGCTCACACCAAGCGTTTACAGTTTCGATCTCAGTTACCGCCTAAAAAGCAAATAAGAAAGATGCAACTGATGCGTCAAGCATCCATTTCTAATGACAAGGAGATCGTCATCACGGACCTGTTGAATGACATCATCCTTAGAGAGCCTCAATTCCAGAAAGGCTGAAGTACCAGGGCCACAGTCAGCAAGGCACCGCTTCGCTTCTATCGCACCAGCCTCAGAGAAGCGAAGTCGCCATTCTACCTCTTCATCGAGATTCGCATCGACGAGTTCAGGCAGCTGACTCGCTTCCATCGCTTCCTGGCGACGTTTGCGACGCTCGGCATGAGTCCCACCACCAGTGGAGTGTCTTAATCTAGCAGCGACGGCAGAATGGAGATCGTCGAGGCACTTGCGACGACGACCCTCAGCTTCGATAAAGAGTGCGGCGCGACGCTCCGCATCGTGTTTGCGGCGTGACTCGCGGCGTCTCCATCGTTGCGCCAGGTGTCCGGTGAGGGCTCTCAGAAGATGCGAAATAAATCTGACAGTTTGTGGAATGTTGGTAGGAGTGGAAAGACGGTCCAGGATCAGCAGATCCAAAATGTAAGAATGAAATCTGAAATAAGAAAGAATTAGGCTTGTGAGAACTAGTCGTTAATATCCCAATCCAAAGTACAAAATTGTTTCAGGTTCCCCGAAGCGATACAGTTAGACATTGCAGTGTTGCAGAAGCTATCTGAAATGAACCGAATGCATAAATTCAACACGAAACATTTTCAATTGCCTGAAAAGCAACCAGAGAAAGACACAATAGGAGTCGATTAAAAATTGTTTTGCAACACTACGTGAGGAATCCAGTTAAAAAACACAGGAGTAGGCCAGAAAATGAACTCAGCAAATTTTAATGAATTTCACCGGAAGAACCTTAAGCACATAGTCCCAAAAAATCTTTCCAAACGCTGTAACGCTTGACACCGATAAGTTCATCCGAGAACTCCAGTCCTTTTCGGAGAGCAATGTTTCATTATCTTGATCTTACACACACATTTGCATCACATACCGCCAGTTCCAAAGAGTTTAAACATCCTGATGAGCATTTCTGAGAAGCAAATTAATAAAGAATATCCACTATGATTTAAGCAAAATACTGAAAAAGCAGTTTTAAGTGTTTTAGCAAACGATGAAAGCGAGTTGCTGCAAGGAAATGACATTACAAAGATGTCCAGAAAGAGCAAGGCTAAAAAATTAATCAAAAATCCACATTTTCTGAAGCCTTTTACTCACTGATGCTCGACTTCCACGCGCTTCAGAAAGACCTCACGCCTATGAGCCATGAAGTCTCGAGAGTCTGCATAGATGGATCGCCTAGAAGTGCTATTTTCGTCGTTCTCACCATATCTCCACGATAAAAAGCCAGAGGGATCTCGCACAATGCGTCGGATTCGAGGTGATAGGAGATGACGAACCAGCTCCAGAGTTGGCGACATTGGAGGCCCTCCGTGAGTTTGTGAACAGACGGTGGTCGCTAGGGTGGGGAACAATCCTGTGGAAAGAGAGTCCACTAGGGCCACGAAAGAGGATACCTAGGGAGAAAGGTTGATACTCGACTTCTTCTGCGCCATTTGATTTCTCAGTGATAATAATCCACCGCAGACGCGGATGGCACAATTAACAATTAGAATGTGCAATCAGATGAAGATCTGCTTTAGAACTCAAGAAAATCAATGGCTGGCTTCCTAGAATTTCAACTCAGCACCTGTCCATGAAATTATGGTTGGTCGAATAACCAAGCCCAAAAAGTAAAATAATCTGTTGGTGATCGAAAAATCTCCATTTCATTCAAATGCTGTAATGTAAGCCAATAATTACTATTTTGGAATTAAAGGAGCAATACAATGAGGACAAAGCCTTCAATAGTGAAATTTAGC